GGGTTATTAATACAACAGAGGCCAAACAGCTTGGTCTAGTAGATTTACATGATTGCATATTGTTTTTTTATATAATCAGGTACTTCGGAAAAATAAATTCCCAAGCCAATCATTCCATTATGCACAACAACACTAGTGGGCGAAAGTGCCTGAATAATGTTTGCAAAAAGTGAACTGAACTGAGTGGGACGTAATAGAAACACACAATATACTAGACGGACTAAAATGAAGCCGTCTAGCATCCAAACAGAATTGCCAAACAGAAAGAAAGCTGTAATATTGATGCAGAAGCGAAGATGTAAGAAATGTTGTTTTCGTCATCAGAGGAATTGAGGGTACTCATAGTGTCCCTCTCCCAACTAATTTGGCAAGTGGCATTTGTTTTCAATGGAAAATGTGATAAAAAGTTGTAAAATATCTTCAGGTCAGGCATATTTCTGTAGTCAAAATGAGATGCAACGAGGGTCATTTGGATTGGTGCCATTGACACAATATCGACGAATATGCACATGAGGCATTTCGTACGTCGAATTGCTTAGGGTGAATGCAACGCATCAGATTTTTGACGAATGAACGATAGCGTGTTTGAAAAAGCAATTTGCACCTCAAGAAGTGCACAAGGTGCCGAGGAAATTTCTTGTATTGCACCAAATGTAAAACCTTAAATTCGACTTGAATGGGAGCGTTCTTCGAGAGGTCCCAAATGGACTGGAGTTAAACGAATTCAAAACGTTTGCGACTTGATTGATGATATGATTTAGGAAAACTAGGATGAAGTCCAATACCGTACGTGGTTCTACTCTTCATTCAGAAAGATTCCCCATGACATGTAAGCAATTTCGTGGTTTAACCATCAACAATATCCTCATTACTCGATAAATATATTTCTTCATTTAGAATTTAACTTCTTCCCTCGGATTTTAGAGAGATGGAACTACTGAAATTTACTGCCATGAAATTATTTACATTACTCATGAGTAGTTTATTCTTTTTCGCTAAAGTAACTCGGAGGGGGCCTACGGGAAACCAACATTTTTCTAGATAGATCGAAAAATGTAATCCCAATTTTGAAATCTGAGAACGAAGGACTCACACGAATCATCTAACTGTTCCGGAGCCGAGAAACTGAAAGGTTGTTCATCCGATGGATGCACGACACCTAGATCCACGGTACAGCTCGTTGCACGAAGTCTATTTACAGCAGAACTGTTGGCCGTGTTCAGCGACTGAGATGAGCTGTGCAGTGCTGACGGTGAATGTTTTGAACTCAGTGATGAAGGTGTTTGGGCCATTGCGCTCGCATCTCCTGCAACCACGCCTGGAGAAGGCCCCGATCTCATCACTGACGATGAGGTGGGTGGGACGGGAGCAGCACTAGCGGCTACTGTAGGCATCAAGACATCGTCTGATTCCGGTATGGGACTTGGAATGATCGGGTTACGGTCCTCGGAAATTTGAATAGAAGGTACAACAAACGAGGGTGTTTTGGGAGTTCGTAAAGAGGCAATTCCATCTGAAAGACCTGTACCGATAACTGAGAGGTCGGTACGTGAACCGGTTGGTGTGGTGGTGGAGCTATCGGACTGGTGGTGAGAAAGTAGAAAGAATGTTTCCGATTGAATTTCTGGGTTTGTGTTGAGATTTTCACGATCATCCGGTAACATAGCGGATGGTGCAATCATGTGTGTGTGTGTGGCTATGAGTTCTATCGCGAAGTAAAATCAACAAGGAAACAAATGAAGTAGACATATATAGTACAATATATCAGGAATGAGAAAAGTATGACGAAGGAGAGGCAATTCGTAAAAAGACGTCTCACAACAGGTAGGGATCTATCTAAGGACTTTTAGCCACTCATTGCACATATGTTACCGGATCCTACTCATACAGTTTGATCCTAGAACTCCAATCTAGTTTGAAGAGTCAACTGACCTTTCT